ATTCCAGAAAATGTTACATTTCATTGACCTTTCTGTGTTCTCTTCCAAGACTTTCATGGCCATTGGTGAAAAATCAGTAATCCAAGTGTTTCCAAACTGTCTGAGCTGACCTATTCTGTTCATCATCTTCACCCTTGTTTCTTCAAGCATTGTCACTATAGTCTTCTACCTTGCTGCCAAAATCCAAGCATTGAAACATTCTGCCATATTATTGTCAACGCTATCACACTTGCAGAATGTGTTGAAATACACCTTACTCCATCTTTCAATGTTGTAGTACAACAGTTCATCAACTATCTTAGTCCCCAATTTCTTCATGTCATCCAGATTTTTCTTCAACTCACATTCATAGGTAGACCTTGCATACCTCCAGAAGCAGTTCCTTCTCTCTATGCCCCTCCATTTCTTAGACCAGTTAGCTAGGATGTGCCTTGCACACATCCTATGCTCAGAATTTGGAAGTAGGTCTGCTATAGCATTCTCAAGCCCCTGGAAAATTAACAATGGTAGTTAGTATTAAGTGAAACAACAGTAGAAAAATAACAACTGCCCAAGCAAGTGGAAGCATCTGATTATTTCCATCTTTGCAAACTGCTACAAGTAGTTGGCCTCTACATACCCCTTTTAAAAAACATCCATCTAATCCAATGCATGGCCTACAACCAGCTAAGTATAACTTCTTCATTGCCTCAAAACAAATGTAGAACCCAACAAACATTTTCTTCCCACCTTCAAAAGTTTCTTCACTAAGTTTCACTACACATGTACTACCTGGATTAGATCTAAGCAACTCATCCCTATAATCTAAAATCCTGCCATACTCTAGTTTATGATCACCCATTATCTCATTCAACACAATATTTTTTGCCCTCCTACAAACTGTCCTCCCAACATATAATCCCAATTTCTTTCTAATCAACTCTTGAAACTTGAATATTCTAATGTTAGGTTGTTCTTTTATCCTCTCATTGAACCTTTTAGCCAAGAAATTTGAATTACATAGCTTGTTTCNCCATGTCAGTTTCGAGTTGGTGTGTTTGTTGCGATTGTTGAAGTCTTTTGTTTGCACGATTCAATGCCCGGAATGTCTTCTCGGGGTCTGAGAGTCCTTCAAGTAGTTCTCCAGTCCTCGTAGAATTTCTAGGCATGCACCTGTGTACCCAGATCAACGACCGTCAAAATTTTCAATGAAAAAGTTGGTAGAGAGAAAACTGACTACAGTAAGAATCTTTGTATTTCTGTCAATGGCAATTGATAATTCCGTTAACTCCACGGCAACGGCGCCAAAATTTGATCACGCCCAACTATGCCGTATAAAAGGACAATGCGGTCGCTGCAAATATAATCCGGTTTACAAGTCCGGAGTCGAATCCCACAGAGAGTTAACCTATCAACTGCTACCTCCAGACCCACCAAGTCTTCAGAACCAGCTTCCCAAATATTCAAATTCTCAGTTGATTGTTCTTTAATAACTAACTTGCAAGTAAATAAAAGGCTATAACTAAATTAGAAGGGTTGTAAATAATTATGAAAAAAGGCTAAGGCAATGATTTCCCCTATTGATGAAATCCCTTCTGTTTATGCTCATACAAATTTACCCACACATCTCTATCAATCTTGAACGCTAATCTTACCGCAAATCTCTCCCGAGTAATCACAGTAATCTACTATTGCACTCTCCCGAGATACACTAGCTTGCTTAAATTCGCACAATTCAATTTAAATTGCACCCAAGGCCTCGTTATTCCTAATCCCGCCTTTAAACCCGCAATTATAGATTCCTCTAATAATCTAGGAGTGGTGTTGTTCAACAATACCCTAAATATGCACTCTTTTCCAAGTTATGCACACTAAATAGGCACAGCTAATTGAGGATCCTGTCAATTAACTACAACGAACACGAAGTTGAACAAATAAAGATTTAACTAGCAATTTGTATTCACATAAACAAGAAGTTCATCACTCAAATAGGGTCCATCAAAGCCTTAGACAAGGAATTTAGCTACTCATGACTATGGGAGAATAAACTAAGATTGAATTCATCATAAAATCAAAAGAAAAGAAGAAAGATGTTTAGAGTACTTTCTCACAATTGTTTTTCTTGCTAAGAACCCTTAGAAATCAATACCCCCTTCTTTTGGGCGAAGTCTAGCGTTTTAAATAGGGTTTAGGTCTAAAAATCCCGTGTTTTACACTTAAGTCCCCGAAGTTTACTGTACCCACCGCGGTTCTACCGCGGTCGCGGTAGAACCGCGGTCAAACGCCTTCGCAGAATCTTCAACCTTCAGAGACTGCCTTCCACCGCGGTTTCACCGCGGTCGCGGTAGAACCGCGGTGGAACTTGTACCCGGGCATTTTGGCCTGTTTTGAATGGGTTACTTTGGAAATTCAACAATTAGCCTCTTTTCATCAATAATTGACTCCAAAATCGCTCCTTAGCCTTCCTTACACCTATTTCACCTGCAAATCATGTAAAGCACTAATAAGAGCATTTTGTTGTCATTTTCCACATTAAAAGTTCACAAGAAGGTGATTATTTGGTGCGTGATTATAGTCAAATTCACCTATTATCAGTACCTATTACGGAAGGCGAATGATCCACAGCTGAAGCACGTCTTTAGAGAGGCTAATGGAGTAGCGGACCTGTTAGCTAAGAATGGTTGCAGCCTGGACACTTTTTGTACTTTGCAAACTTTTGTTGTTCCGCCTGTTTTTGTTATCCATGTACTAAAAAGAGACAGTCTAGGCACTATGTTACCTAGACTGAGCTCTAGTTGTAATAACTTTTAGTTTTGTTGTTGTTGAATAAATCTTTTATTACCAAAAAAAAAAGAGTATATTTTTAACATATATGTTGTACAATTTGTAATTCAAAACCAAGTTGTATATTATGGAATATTTTACAAATCCTTAAGTAATTATGAAAATGTCCCTTCTATTTTTCTGTTTTGATATCTAGCTTTTATTTCTTTGAGAAAATTATTTGAACACAGTAGAGAGTAGAGTTACGTTATTTCCTCAAATAAAATTCATGTAATTTCTAAAATTGATTCTTTAGATTCTACGGCGGAATCTTCTAGGTGAGATTCTCATTTTCCTTAAACTTCTTTCATAAGCTGTAAAGACTCTTTAGTTAGTTTTATTTCTTTTTCATTTTCAGACCCCTCCCCCCCCCCTCCCCCGGGCCCTCCCTTTTTTCCTGGCCATTCTCAGGTAAAATTCTTTTGCTTTTAGCTTCCATGATTATTCATTTATTCTATGTAAACTGATTTTATATTTTTATATACTTCTTTGCCTAATTTTTGTGGAGTGTTTTTTTTTGTTGAAAGAACTTATTTTTCCAAATTCTTGATCTTTTTCTGCTCTCACTTTTGTTGATCAATTTGGGTTTTTAGTTTTGTAGTTCTTGTAGTTTTTCAGATTTTTTTGGTGGAGTGAAGTTTTAATTTTTATTGGGTTTTCAGTTTTTTTTTTTTTTTTTTTTTTTTTTTTTTTTTTTTTTTTTTTTTGTGCAGATAGTTTTGTGGGTCTGCAGCGTATGATTGAAGAGCCATAGTACAATTGAATTAGGTTAGTGTAGATTTTGGAACTTATATTGGTTCATGAATTGTTTACTGTTGTAGTTCCCTGTTGGTTTGGTTAATATATGTTTGTAGAATCTTAATTATCTTTATAATAAATGCATGTAGATTGTATAGATCCCCTACTTTATTGGTTTTGTTTGCTAGAACTTTTTCATGATTTATGTCATCAAATATTTTCTTTTTTGGGGTACTTTTAGGGTTGGTTTCTTTTTGGGTGAGGGGAGGGGTCAGAGTCAGTGGCGTACGCAGGATTTTAAGTAAGCGGTGTCACAATTAGACGGTGAGTCATAAAAGTTAGGGGAGATGACAAGAGAGATGGAAAGCCAAGTATGAGTAGCAGTAAGCCAACACATGCAAAAATAGCAAATTGTAAAGGAGCTTACCTAATAGTTATATAGATAACTCTTATTAGTACCTGAACACCTATTGTGTTTGGTCTACTGGCTTGTTCCTTGTATTTTGTATTATTTTGTAGCAGGGTCGGCAGTTCGAACCTGTGCAAACCGAACATCTCTTTTTAAATCAATAGGAGAAGATTCTCCAATAAGTGAACCCATGCAAGCATAGGGAATCGAACACCTGACCTTCAGTTTGAAAGCTAAACGCTGGACCACTGGACTAAGACCTGGATTTGATAAGTGGTGTCACTTTTAGATAGTTTTTATCCTTGTTTGTTTTTATATATCCTCTACCATAAATGAATTTAGTTAAATTTTTCGATGAAGCGGTGTCACGTGACACCGCTTAGGACTACGTGCATCCGCCCCTGGTGAGAGTGGATAACCTATCGCAACCCTCCTCATTTACCTAGGCTTGAGATTGGCAATGTGAGCAAGCACACACAGGCATAATTTAGTATGGGTCTAAGATAAGCTTAAATGGAACTACTTAGTTTGTGAGGATTCATATAGCCGAACCCAACTTGCTTGGTGTCGAGGTGTAGTAGTTGTTGTTAAGATTTTGGTTTATTTGTCTCGTGTTTTCTTATTTGTGGATTTCAGAGTACTTCATATTGTTTCTTTCTCTTGGGTCATTTTATTATTTAGCTTTTGTTACTGTTTCTTTTCATGCTTAATACATTACCGTATTCCTTTTTGTTATTGTTGTGTTTATGCTTTCCTTGAGCCAAGGGTCTATTGGAAACAACCTCTCTACCCCCACAAGGGTAGGGGTAAGGTTTGCATACATACTACTATCCCCAGACCCCACGATGTTGGATTACACCGGGTATGTTGTTGTTGTTGTTGTTTATGGGGATGAGTTGGAAGAGGGATGAGGGTGCTTGGGTGGAGTGGAGGGGCTAAACCAATAGTTAAAGCTTGCAACTTTATTAGGACAAGCTTGTTTATGGATAATTCTAATAATTTGGCATCAGTTATCAGAAATATTTAGTTGAGTTGTCACGATGGATCTTTGGCAGCTCTTTGAGATTGGTTATCAACAATACTACGGCTACGGCTCAATGCCAAGCTAGATTGTTTCACACATTTTAAATGATTTGAGAATATTTGGGATATTGCTGAAGTTTAAATAGCTTGCCTATTTGGAATTTCTTTTGAATGGGAAGCAGTGGGACTAAGAGTACGGATTAAGTATAGCTTGTGTACTTGCATGTGTACGTGTGGCATCTATATATAGGTTTTATTATTCCAAGCTTATAGTTTAAAATTATACAGTATGTATTTAACCCTACTTAGCATCTAATCATCTATGTGCATGTTATAAGCCATTATGTGATCATAGTCGAGATGGAATAGGTCATATTTGCAACTTCTTTTTTTCATGCATTACTAGTGTAGGATAAAATAATAGTAACCATTTTCCTAAGGTACAAATAATAGCTACCATATGGTGACATGCCATTCATCAGATTTGGATCAACACACAAAATTTTACTTGGACAACAGTAAGATACGCATTTTCGGTGAAAATTTGGAAGATTTCTGTGGGCTCTATTTGCAACTGGAAATCAGACCTACTTAGTGTTAATTCAGTGAAGTTGATGAATTTTTATCTTATGAACATGAAAATGGCATCAGGAGACATGATGTGCACAGAGAATTAACAAGAAATATGTTGATTGGATTGGATAAAAAATCCTTGGTTAGAGGCAATTCAATCAAGAGGTGAGAGTCTTTCGCTGAATACTGCATAAGAATACATGTTGCTATGCTAAACTAGAATGCTCTTCATGCAGTTTAGTTATAGTTTGCTGTCTCTCTCTCTCTCTCTCTCTCTGGGAGTTCTGGGGTTCTCTCACTTGGACTTGTGAATTTATCCGTGTAAACGTGAAGAGATCTTGTAGACATTTTATGATTTAGCCTAGCTACTTATGATAACTGGAAAGTTTCAAGTATCATAAAGAGGCAACCTTTTCTCATTTGCACAATTACTGGAAGCTACTGTTATTAGTTATATTTTCATAGAAATTCTTCCTTTCCTCATCATTATTTTACTTTTGAGAAGAATGGAGACCAGATAGAATCAAATAAATTAAGTATTTGTAGTCATATCATAATTGAAACTTTTGATGGAAAATTTATTATAGATAGAATGGAGGCCCTTGCAATTTTATAATCGTACATGGATAATGGATTATCCTTCATTGCTGTGGAGTGTTTTTCATCATTGTTTGGGTTTGAAATACCATATATATCATTATTTAATACACGTAGAAATTTTTATTGTCGTACATGGATTGTGATTCATTGCTGTGGATCGTTTCATTCATCATTGTTTGGGCTCTTGATATATGAGATACCATATGCATTATAAATATTCAATGCATGCCGAAAGTTTGATGGGTCTTTTCATATTTCCGGTCAAGCTTATAATTGTCGGGTCGGTAGAGGAAGTTCCATTTTGGGATTGTATAACGTTGCTATTTGAGAGCGTGACATCACTTTCAAGGGTTGCACTGATGTTGCACCTAATCTAAAGATATTGCAGTGAAAAATGCCTACTTTGGGTAGGGATACTGGAAACCCAGAGGTATACTAGACGTAATCTACCTTGATTAAGTGGATTAGCTTTCCATATTATGTAGCTGAGAGAGAGGATATTTATGTAAATTGTAGTTTGAAGGTGGGGCTTACCTTTTTCACTGGATTTGTTTCCTTCTTCTGCTTCTAGAACATGGAGAATGCTATTGAAGCGCATGCTTTCCATTTTCAAGATAAAGTTAAAAGAAAGTTTATATGATTTTAAGTTTTGAATAGGAAGTAATAGTTACATTTGTTCAGCAAAATGATTTCAGAGTGGTTTCTCATTGATATGCAGAATGTGAGAAAAGAATCTAGAGTTGGAAAAATAATTAGATGTTAATATGCTGTACAATTGTTGGATATCATGAATCCATTACAAAACTAATCAAGGTCAGCTCAATAAACTAGCAATTGTGTGTTTCTTTGTTCCCGTAGGCACGAAGCAGATGAGCATCGACTGGAAGCAACTGATACAAGCAAAGCATTCTGAAGATCTACAGCTACTCCTCTTCTGATGAGTGATATGATATAGTTCATGAAGACGACATCACATGGTAAGCCATCATTTGAGAGTCCAAACTCATCTTCCGACATGTTCCGTAGTTTTTTTTTTTTTTTTGATGAAGTAATTGGTTTCATTACTGGCATCAAGAAGATGCATAAATTACAAAAGTGTAGTAATTGTTAGCTCCTTACAAATGTTTATACTAGTACTAGGGAGCTAACAAAATTCAAAAAACTATCAGGGGAGTCTATAGGGGATAGATAAGCCCAGCTATACAAATACATGAGGCATCTAGCCTTGAGTTTGTGGGGAGAAGTTGATACTCCATCAAAACACCTGCTGTTTCTCTCATTCCAAATGCTCCAAAAAATAGCTGCAGGTATCATCTTCCATACTTTCCTGATGGTGCTATCAACTTTCCAGTAACTCCAAGACTCAAAAGCATCCCTGATTTTATGTGGCATGACCCATCTAAGTCCAAAGAGTGATATAAACATACTCCATAAATCTGTTGCAACAGGGCATTGAAGAAAAAGATGGTTGTGATTTTCTGCCTCCCTCTGGCACATGTAGCATCTATTCACAATCTGAAAATTCCTCTTGGCTAAGTTGTCTTGTGTCAGACAAGCCTCATAAAGTGCGGTCCAGTTGAAGCAGATGACTTTGGGTGGCAACTTGATTTTCCATATTAGCTTCCAAGGCCAATGGTTAGTTATTACATTGTGAGTTCCTGCTAGCTTGTAGGCTGCTTTGACCGAGTACTTTCCTGCATCTGCACTACCCCATTTGAACTGGTCAGGTACTAGAGTGTTGCTTGAGAAATTGTTGAGTGAGGAAAGGAGTCTGAGCAGATCCTCATATTCCCAATCTTGCAAATTCCTTCTAAATGTTATGTTCCATGAGTTGCCTTCTCTGCACTGATGAACTGTTGAGTCTGGATCACTAACCATTTGAAAGAGAGCAGGGTAGTCATTCCTTAGGGTGGTGTTGCCTAGCCATTTGTCCTTCCAGAATTTTATTTGATGTCCATCTCCAACTGCGAAGTGCTGGTTTTGTGAGAATTCCTGCCAGAGTTTGCAGATGCTCTTCCAAACTCCAACTCCATGTGGTGCTCTAGATAGCTTGGTGCACCAGTGGCTTTGGGTTCCATGCTTGGCCTTGACCACTTTTTTCCATAGGCTCTGCTCCTCCTGTGTATATCTCCAAAGCCATTTCATTAATAAGCATTTGTTGTGCAAAGCTAAGTCCCTGACCCCTAGTCCACCTTGGTGCTTGGGTAAGATAACTTTAGACCACTTTACAAGGTGAAACTTGTGACCATCTTTAGTCCCTTCCCATAGAAAGTTCCTTCTGATCTTGTCAAGCTGCTTCAGGACCTTACTAGGCATTGGAAAGAGTGACATCTAATAGGTTGGGATGTTGTCTAGGACACTACTGATTAGAGTTAGTCTACCACCCATAGACAAATACTGCAGCTGCCAAGAAGCAAGTTTCTTTTCAAATTTCTCAATGACCCCACTCTATATAGCTTCTGACCTGAACTTTGCCCCTAGTGGAAGTCCCAGGTAAGAAGTTGGTAAACGTCCAGTCTTGCAGCCTAAAATTCCAGCCAAGTCTTCTAAATTATGCACCTCATTAACAGGGTAGATTACACTTTTGAGCATGTTAATGTGAAGACCTGAAATAGCTTCAAATATAAGAAGGGTTAGATTTAGATAGAGCACTTGACTTCTGTCTGCCCCACAGAAAATCAAAGTGTCATCTGCATAGAGCAGATGGGAAATATTGACCGTGCTTCCTCTCCCAACATCAAAACCTTTCAACCATTGCAGCTGCTTAGCTTTATCCAACATCCTACTAAATCCTTCCATTGCTAATATGAATAGGAATGGTGAGAGTGGGTCTCCCTGTCTCAATCCCCTCTGTGGAGAGAAAAAACCAACTGGGCTCCTGTTGATTAGAATGGAGTACTTCACAGTGGAGATATTGAACTTGATCCATTTTAACCATCTTTCCCCAAATCCCATTTGCCTGAGAATGGAAATGAGGTAGGACCAGTTAAGTTGATCAAAGGCTTTTTCTATGTCCAGCTTACATAGAATCCCTGCATCCCCTTGCTTTAACTGCCAATCAAGGACCTCGTTTGCTATCAACGAAGCATCTGTAATCTGCCTTCCTTGGATGAATGCATTCTGTTGATTTGAGACCACTTTTCCCTTTACTTTCTTCAACCTTTCAGCTAGAACTTTAGCTATGATCTTGTACACACTGCCAATTAGACTAATTGGTCTATAGTCCCTTAGCTCCATTGCCCCTTTATTTTTAGGAATAAGCGCAATGAAGGATGCATTACATGACCTAACCATCCAACAATGCTGGTGATAGTAACTCATAGCTGAAAGTATGTCATGTTTAATGAACTCCCATGAGTGCTGGTAGAAAGCCATTGTGTACCTGTCAGGCCCTGGTGCTTTGTCAGGAGCACTGGAGTTAATAGCTGCAAGAACCTCCTCCTCATTGAAAGATGCCTCCAGCCCCTCCTTTTCTTCTTCTGTAATGGTTGCAATTCCTTCAAAATTAGCAGATGGCCTCCAACTTTCCTGCTCAGTGTACAAGTTTTCAAAAAAAATCAAGCGTCTCCTGCTTTATCTGCTCCTTATCTTCTATGATCTCATCCCTGACCATGAGTTTGTCTATGCAATTACTTCTTCTATGAGAGTTGGCAATCTTCTGGAAGTACTTGGTGTTTCTGTCCCCTTCCTTAAGCCAAAGACACCTTGATTTCTGCCTCCATGAAATTTCTTCTGCTTTGGCTAACTGTTGTAGTTCTATTCTTATACTAACCATTTGGTTAGCCTCAGATAAAGCCAATTGCCTGTCTTCTGCAGCCTGTTCTAGTGCCATGAGTTCCTCTAGTGCCCTGTTTTTCCTGGTTTCCACCTTCCCAAACTCTTCCCTGTTCCAGGTAGTGATATCCTTCTTTAGGCTTTTTAGCTTTTGCATAAGGATAAAGTCAGCACTACCAGTGAAAGTGTAATTCTGCCACCAGCTCTTTAGTTTGCCTAGAAATCCTTCTGATTGAAGCCACATGTTTTCAAACTTAATGAAGGAAGGAGTTGCATCCCAGTCACCACTCTCCAAAATAATTGGTCTATGATCTGAAATTACCTTAGGCAAGGCAATCTGTCTCACAGCATTAAAAGAGTCATTCCAATCATTGGAGATAAGGAACCTGTCAATTCTCGAAGCCTGCAAACAGTTGTCTCCTTTAGACCAGGTATATTGAGCCCCCTATAAAGGAAAATCAATAACATCTAGGTCCTGAATAACATTAGAGAACAACTTCATTGCCTTTGATCTTCTAGTACAATTCAGCCTCTCACTCTCAAACCTAACAACATTGAAGTCACCTCCACTACCCAGTGATCTTACCAAAGTCCCCTTATTCCTGCAATCTCACTCCACATTACTTCTCTCTTTGGATTGTTGTGTGGTCCATAGATTCCTGTAAAGCACCATCTGAACACTTCTGTGGTGCTTTCTAACATACAGGAGATGGAATAAGACCCCCGGTGTGCATCTAATTTGACCCACTTTCTTTTGTCCCAAATCACCACAATCCCTCCCCTGGTACCACTAGCTTTTAACTCCACCCAATCAGCCCATCTATTCCCCCATAATTGTTGAATCATTCTAGTAGAGCAATTTTCTACCTTAGTCTCCTGCAAACACAAAACATCCACCCTCCACTTCTGAATGAGAGATTTAATAGTGCTTCTTTTCCAATCCTCATTCAACCCCCGCACATTCCAACTCAAGATTTTTAGCTTCATCCCGAACATGAATGGTATTGCCTACCCCTCAACCCCTTAACCTGCTGCCCTCTTCTGTCATAATTAATCCCACATGCTAATCTTTTCCTTTCCCCCTCTCCTCTATTCCTCTTCTCCTTCCTTGCCTTTTGTTTTGATTCCTGTTGTTGGATTTGGACTTGTCTTCGCTGCTCCATTCTTAGAATTATATTCAGAAGATCATGCTCGAACCCTGTCGCATTGACCCCAAAGGCCTTGCATGCCTTGGCCATAGTGAGTTTGGTCCATTTTGAAGTCTCGATTAAGGATGGAGTATCAATTAGCTGTGCGCTAGGACCTCCCTCATACCATGTCAGTGGAAGAGCTTCACATACTGCCTGAGAAGAAAAGTCTGTGTCTGAGCTAGTTGCTGGAACCAAATCCATTGTTGGTGAGTGTATGCAAAGTGGCCTGTGGACTCTCTCTTCTGGGATCCCTTCATCATCTGCGTCTGAAGGGGAGCTTTCTGAACTCTGGTTTGCCAAAGCCATGGGGCAAGATTGTGTCGTGTTTTGCTCCTTCGAGAATGAGGGTTCAGCTGCCGGTTCTTTTAATTTTAAAGCATTTGGGTCGGGTTTAAGCCCAGTTACCCTCCACACTGTTTTCTCATTAAAAAGCTTTGACTCCTTTGACTTCCTTGATGTGGTCTTCTTATTAATTGGGCCTTTCTTGTAATATTCCTGATCTGCTCCTCGGCCCAAGTTTTGTGATGGATTGGAAAGCCCTTTACCCTTTTTATCAGAGACCAATATACCTGGTGGTCCTTTACTCACTGGTTTAACAAATGAACCAGCATTCAAATTAAAGCTGCCAACCTGTCCTTCTGCATGTGAGACTGTGCCTGATGTAAGGTTCCTGCCAATCTCTCCTTCTACATCATGTTCCTTAGTTGTATGATTACCTTATTTTGAAGATAAGCCAAAGGAACCACAAACCGCTTCTGATAAGCTGTATAAACTACAAAGTGCCCTTTTTCAACTACAAAGGATGATGTACTACAACTATCATCATCATGTTCATTGGATCTTGAAAAAGTAATTCTCTTCCTCTGTATTGCTGCAAACTTCTGCCATTTCTTGGCTATCTTGAGGAGTCTCTTGGCACTGAGCATCATTTTTTTTTTTGGAAGATAAAAAAAAAGACAATGGACTATATACAATCGAGAACTTTAAAGGAAACTGATAGTGCTTGTCTTTGAAATGTAAAAGCTCATAAAGAGGTTTATATATAAACGAGGCCTTAGATAGACTTTGAGTTGCAGCTCAAGCTTTGCAATGTGGTAATTCCTGTTGGTAATGTTGATATTCTCTTTGGTAGACAGAAAATATTAGTTAATTATACATGAGAGCCTCACCATTGCCAACAATGGTTTTTTCTTTCACCAGCAAAACATAATCTACCACTGAAAAGTCATAACTACTGACACTGTTCAAAGGTCGTATGGAATATGCCAGTTCTTTTCTTCTCTCTGTTAAAGATGGTGGTGCATCTGGTTGCACTTAGTTATCATTTTTTATTTTCTGTTTTATCCTGGTATGGCAGGCAAGGGGAAAGATTACTGGGAAGAGGATAACATACTCGAAGGGATGCCAGCTTGTCGACAAATGTTCAACATTTTCCACCCTTGTGATCCCATGGCATACAGGTTTCATAGTCGACATTGTTGCTATGTTTTGTCAATTTTTTGTTATACAAGCTCATGCCTGCTTCTCTCCTATTTCAGATTAGAACCACTTGTCTGTAAAGAATATCTCAACAAACGCCCTGTCATAATACCCTACCACAGAGGTGGGAAACGACTGCATATTGGTTTTCAGGTAAGGCCTCCATAGTTACATAATTAACGGTGTTAGGTTCCTTCTACCATTTGTATTAATGTGCATCCTATTACTGTTTGGTGCAGGAATTTAAAGAAGTAGCTTTGCATTCACAGGCTTTTGCGAACAATATAAATTCTGTAAAGGTGTGTTTTTAATTTTTCTCCTTGTTGTTTGTGTTACGATACATGTACGTAAGGGTTGTATGTTTAATTGAGATGATAAGATTTTATATCACTCATTAAGAAGTTTGATGTCCTGTAACCATGCAAAGATAGACACATGAAGTGTTAAATCTTCGGCTTGCTGCTAATGTCTTATGCTGCCTGACTTACAAATGACTTTAACAAATTTCAGAGAATAGCTGTTTAAAGCAGAGATCCTCGAATGACCTTACAATATCAATGAATGGCTGGTTAAACTAGAGATCCTTGCTGACTTGATTGCTTGAAATGGAGAACAGTTATTTGTTTCGTTTTATATCTGCTTATTGTTGAAACCATGAACTGAACGACTTGGATTATGCTTCTATAACTTGATACTCTCCTTCCAATTATCATGCTGAAAATGTGTCTTCTTCATATTTAGCTTTTTATGACATGCTTTTTTCCCCCCACAAGTGCGATGCTTTGAATCTTTAAATATCATCATATCTGTAGGGGAAATGAGGTTTCCACGTTTTCTTTTTTCGTCCTTATTTGGTTGGTGTGGCATGAACTCATCTGTCATTCAAAGTCATTTACATAAGATTGGTGGATTTGCTCGTTTTAGTGTTTAGCCTTATTTTCTATGGTTAGTTTATGGTTTTCGATTAGGTCTCATGATGCCAATGAGTTTTGGATCTTAATGGCAATTTTTAATCAGGTAAAGGTGATTACTCTTTGTCAATCAAGATACAACGATGGCGAAGATGGTAATAGAAGCAAGCATTTCTTATTCGTCTGCTTTCTTCATTTTAGATTATAGAAGTTCCTCTTCCTTTTTCTCAGTCACAGAAGCTATCAGCTCTAAATCAAGCTGGAGCCTCCATCTCCCCAAAAAAACAAAAACACACTTTAGCTTCCTATCTTTCTAGGTACTGATGTGGCACTGTTTTGCAGAGGAGTCCCAAGAGTACCAGGAGAAAGAAGAGAGGTCGTATGGTTCAATTATGATGGAGAGATTAACTGGAAGTGAAGATGGTCGAAACAATTGTGCAATTAACATTTTGTCTTCCCAGCTTCTTGTGCAATTGAAGGCTTAATATTTTGTGTGGGGTCTTTCTTTCTACATGGCTATTCTTCTTGTTTTTTCTACCCTTTCATTGTTGTCATTGTAGCCGTTCTAGTCATTTGGTGTTCATACGCTGATATGTATGCTACATTGATGCGGACACCACTGGCTTGTATTCATGTGTCCCCTACTCCCCTTAAATAGCAATTTACAATGCCAAGTTATCTTTCGTTTATAGTCACACATTGGTTTATGATTTTTTGTTGTATCCTTATACAATTCAGACAATTTTCACCTCATGAGCCAAGTTTTGGGGTTTAGTTAGGCACAACTTCTATTTTCTTAACATGGTATTAGAGGGATAGTTAGGTTCAAGGTTCATTTTCTTAAGATGGTGTTAGCGGAAACACATGTATTCTTGGCCTCCCAATGTTATGTTGTCCATGTGTGGGGAGTTTTAAGAGCTTTTATCATCGTTGGCTGCTCGTGCCAAACTTTTAACAGCTACTAGCCAGAAATTAATTAATTATAATAGCCAGCTGATGAAACAAAAAGCCCCATCAGCCGCATCCCAACCCCGACGCCAGATTTCAAATGATAATAGATCAATACATAGCTATAAATGAATTGATCCATACAATTATAGCGGATGACATTCAAGTCGGAGGTCTTCTGCAGATTGTATGGGTCAGAATCCGACCCCGCGATAATTAACGAAGTTAATCCCGTCTTAAGCTAATCCATGATTAATTAGTGGTATGACCATTAATAATTAACGGTAATCAACCCTTATTTGATTCAATCAACAAGGCTACGGCCCATCCGCCATCATGAAGGCAAAACCCCAACGTGGTCACGACCACTTATTGCCAGCTCACGAAGCTCACAGCTACAAATACCAAGAGAGGGAACCCTAGAAAGGGGGGGCTTCTTCTTTACCACTATTCTCCACTATTCTCCAAAAAGAGAGAGAAAGAGAGAAGAGACAAAGGCACCCATCTTGGGGAAGATAAAACCCCATTGTAAGGTTCTGAATCTCTTCATGGAGAGGCAGACCAAATCAATATCATCAATAAAGAGTCGTTAATGTTTCTTCTCCTAATCTTAAGTATTTATTATCATTTCTTTCAGTTGGTCCATGAATTATTATGATTTGCCCGTAACTCATATACATTGTTTTGTATTCATAAAGTATGTGATAACTTGTGAGCAAACAATTTGGCGCCGTCTGTGGGGATTTCCTAGCAAAATCGCGTAGTTCTTCCCTGGACCAAAAGGAAAGAAACGCCAAAAAAAGGGGAAGAACAAACCCGCTCGAACAAGCCCAAAACGGCACCTCCGACAAGAGGAACTCGAAGATCTCAAATCAAGATCCAAGTTCTCTCTCTCTCTCTGATCTCCGACAGTGCGAGCAAGAAGAAGAAGCCCACCCCAAGGGAGAATCTCCGTGAGGTGTCTCCCGCATCCCAGATACGGGATCCGGCCGGAAACCGGCGTTGAGATATCTCGAGCCAGAGCCACCTCAAAATAGCCTACATGCCCCGATTGGGAAAACAACGCATAAGTTGCTCAAAGTCTCGAATCAAAACCGAGCTTCAACACTCGATACTCACAGCGTGAAGATTCAGGCTATGCGCCTTCGCCATCAAAATTGACAGTTCAACAACAGTTGAACTGGGACTCAGGCTATGCGCCTTCGCCATTAAATCAAGGCTATGCGCCTTCGCCAACTTGAACTGGGACTCAGGCTATGCGCCTTCGCCATCAAAATTGACGAAGTTCAACAACAGTTGAACTGGGACTCAGGCTATGCGCCTTCGCCATTAAATCGAGGCTATGCGCCTTCGCCAACAAATTCAACTACGGTTGAACCAAGACTCAGGCTATGCGCCTTCGCCAACAAGTTCAACTACGGTTGAACTGGGACTTAGGCTATGCGCCTTCGTCATTAAATCAAGGCTATACGCCTTCGCCATCAAAATTGACGAAGACGAAGTTCAACAACAGTTGAACTAAGACTCAGGCTATGCGCCTTCGCCATTAAATCAAGGCTATGCGCCTTCGCCAGTGAGTTCAACTACGGTCGATCCAAGACTCAGGCTATGCGCCTTCGCGATCAAAACTGACAAAGTTCAACAACAGTTGAACTGGGACTCAGGCTACGCGCCTTCGCTAGTAAGTTCAACTACGGTTGAACCAAGACTCAGGCTATGCGCCTTCGCCATTAAATCAAGGCTATGCGCCTTCGCCAACAAGTTCAACTACGGTTGAACTGGGACTCAGGCTATGCGCCTTCGTCATTAAATCAAGGCTATACGCCTTCGCCATCAAAATTGACGAAGTTCAACAACAGTTGAACTAGGACTCAGGCTATGCGCCTTCGCCATTAAATCAAGGCTATGCGCCTTCGCCAGTGAGTTCAACTACGGTCGATCCAAGACTCAGGCTACGCGCCTTCGCCATCAAATCCAACGAGTTCAACTTCGCTTGAACCATAAGGCTGGACGCCTTCGTCCTCAAATATGATAAGTTCGACCACATTTGAACCAGGACTCGGGCCAAACCCCTCCGTCATTGAACTCAGCAGAACCCAACCCCCAACGAATCGAGGCGCAGGGTAGGCACCCTCGCCATTCAAGTAAGTACTCCCAGCTCGAACTAAGGTTAGGGGCACGTAAAGTTCGGCCCCGGTCGAACTGTAAGGCCGCATTTTTATCATCACGGTCGGTAGTCCGACCGCGCCCGAATTGGGACTAAGGCCAAAGGCTAAGTGCCGCTATCGCCAAGCAACGACCCTAAGGCTAAAGGCTAAGTGCCGCTATCGTCAAGTAACGGCCCCAAGGCTAAAGGCTAAATGCCACTATCGCCAAGCAACGGCCCCGACTCGCTCACCCCGAGTCAAAGAAGAAAAGTCGTCAACAATCAAAAACTAACACGCCTACCAGAGTCGAACTCGAAGGCAAATCACCCCTCCGAACGCATGGAAAGAAAAATCTAAAAAAAAAGAGGGGTACAAAATAAACACAAGGCAAATAACGGAAAAAAGATCTCATTTATATACAAAGTTAATTGCGGGTCATCCCCGCTTACACCCGGCCAAGGCCGGTCAATTAAAAAAAAAGAGAAGAAGAAAAAAAAAAAAGGCAAACGCCAAACGGCAAACAAGACAAGAAAAATGCATCTTTTTACTCGGCGCCATCCGCGCCACCATCTGCGCCGTCGTCAGCCTCTGGCGTCGCCGCATCAAAACCACAGTCAATACGGGCCTCACGAGCCTTTTGACGCGCCCCCTCGAAAGCAGCTTCGGCCACGATGCCGGCCTCCCACAAATTCTTATATACATCACGTTGGGCCTCAACAAAAACCCAAAGTTCGCGAGCCTGGCTGGAAGAAACGGCCTGGTCTCGTAGGCGCTGATTCTCTTCCTCCAAGGCCGTGATCCGGTCCGCCATGACTTGGGCGTCCTGCTCAAAGACACCGATCCGCTCCTAGAGACCCGCTTCTCTAAAGGACGCAGCAGCCCTCTCCAACTCCCGCTGGGACTCGTGCACGCGGATAACTTCCTCCAACGCCCCAGCCGTCGACGAGGCATCCCTCACCTGAAGCTTCAAAGCTACGACTTCACCCTCCAATGCAGCCACCTTCCCGCTCCTCCATGCCGCTGCGGCCTCCGCCGCCTTAGCCAGGCCCTGGCGTTCACACTCAGCTGCGGCCCTCTTCCCCGCCTCGAGCTCCTCGTCCTTCCGACGGAGCTGCTCCTCGAGAGCACTTATTCTGCCAAGTGCTTGCTGCATTTGAAGCTCCCGCCTCGCCAATTCCTCGACCACGGCCCGGTTACGGGGATCATTCCTCAAGCGCATGCGCATCTCCCGGCATCGATCCCGGCAGCGGCGATATTTCTCCAACACCCGCAAAAATATCGCCGAGCGGATGTTAGCTCGACGGATGCCCTCCACCTCCAGCAAATAAGACTGCCAAGAAAAGGCCACGATTAGGATAAAAAGTAAACTAAGGCAAAAGAAGAAGCAAACCAACGTCAGATTACGTACCCTCAAACCCATTACGGCCACCTCATTCATCAGCCCGATATCCGTGACGTCCCTCAGCGACGCATTCTCGGCTTCCGAGCATAGCAGCCCAAACTGTGGTACCAAACTCTCCCCTTGGAGCAATAAGTTTAAATCCGTGGGGACCTCGATGAGGCGAGACCTCCCCTCTGCGCGCACAGCCGAATTTGTAAAGCCTTCCCGGAACATGCGGACGTCCTCGGGGTCCAAATCAGATTCAGACTCATACTCATCTCCTGCAGCGTCTCTTCCTCCTCCCACCACTGGCAAGGTAGAATCACCCGCCGTAACCGCCAACGGAGCGCTAGACTCACCAACCTTAGCAGCCGCTGAGGAACTGTCCCCCGTCTCAGCGACTGGAGCCACCAACTGAGTCGCCGAAGCGACAGCATCATCATGGCCTAAGCCGACTGGGGCAACCCCCACTATTTGTTCGCTCTCAAGGGCGGGCGCCGCGGCCGCACTCTCTTCCGCATCCGCCGGAGGGGAGTCCAAGTTGATTACCATAGGAGGAGCCGGCGTGAACATGACCCTGCGTCTAAGCAACGGCCTCTCCTCCTCCTCCCCGTCTGATGGCGATTCTGCTCTAGGGCGCACAACCCCCGACGGCCCCTCGTCTCGAAGTACGGCCTGTGGTGGGGAAGGAGCCGCCGAAGATTCAACAGACGCCGCCCTCGGTACGCGGCGCAGCACCGGTTCTACCGTAAGCCGAACAACTGCACCCGGTCGCCGGAAGGCCAACTGGGGAGCCCTGCCACGACGTGCCCTCCCTGTCACAGAAAAGCAAAGTTGGTAAATAAAATCGAATCAAAGCAGAACAGAGGAAGAAATCAACTTCTCACCTGTAGCAGGCCTGCGGCCATGCCTCTCCAAGAAAGATGCCCACGTGCGTACCCCCTCGGTATGAGGGAGCACGGCCTCGACCCACCCGCGTATCCCAGCCAACGGAGCCGACGGCGACTTTTCGACTACAAAAGTGACGAGTTAGCGCTCACGAATGCGGGACATAAGGGAAGATATAAAAATTCGACGGTAAAGGAACTTACGTGCATGATTCCAAGCCTCTGGGAACCCAGTGGGGCACGCCACTAAATGCTCAGTCCTGACGTAAAAGAAATGCTCAAAAGGGCGGGGGTCGACCTCATCGTCCAGTGTCGCAGTCAGGCCCCTCGACCCACGAGGGCATGCCCGAATCATGGTACCACGAACTCTCTGGGGAGCGTAGAGACTGA